ATATATTTTCCCTTTTTGATCATGACAGTGCTCGGTAGCTAGTTCCATTGGGAGAATCGTAATCTCAGCTTCATAAGCTATTTTGTCCACCCTATTACAACCGATTGATTTCCCTAAAAACTCAAACACCATTTTACTCCTCGGCTATCCTCAGACGTTGAATTTCACGAAGACATATGTTGTGCAAGCATTGAACTAGTGGTCTACTCACTCAGGCTGCTGGAGCAGGCGGAGCGGCAGATCGTGGGATGGCAGACTTGGGGTCGGTGGCTGGAGTATTGTTGGAGATATCGAGAGGAACGTTTGATGGGTTAGAGTGAACCCGGCAATGTTCCTTGGTCTTGTGCTCGGGGTGAGGTCGAGGAGTGTAGCTAAGAGGCCACGGTTAGGTGATAGGAGTCTTAAATGAGAACCGAATTGACATACTTGACGAAGGAGAGCATCCTGAAAGGTTGTTGGTCTGTTGCCGTGTATAAGTGGCAGATGTTGTTGACGGTGCTTAGTGTATTTCTCAAAAGGCAATTGTTTGCTTTACGGTGATGATGCTAACAACGATGAATTGGAGAAAAGGTGGGAAGGCAACGAGTATTATATAGTTGATCGCTTCTCTGATCGAATCAACTTACATACATTGTATTACAAACGATTGCTTGGCCGGACCGGTTGTGCTCTGGTGACTGACTGGCAGGACGTTTGAATTGCACGTGTGACCGGCATCAACTTTGAGGACAGCGCCGGGGTTCGCCAAGGACTTTGAGTTTGACTGGAGGACATGGGCGCAATACTGACGTCGTACGGGTTGCCCGGACAGGGAAGTGATGGGATCTCTTAGCGGGGGTAGAGCGTGCGCGTGACCCCTGGAACGAGGAGGATGAAGTGCGCTGCAGCTGGTCAAGGGGATCCTAGTGTGTATGTATTGTTTATGATGGCTTGGGGATGGGAATCTGGCGATGGCCGACGACTGATTGGGTGCGCTGATATGGCCAGAGGCCGGCCCGGTGAATGAGTCTGTTCTATGAGCATTTCCCGACTGCGGAGGAGCAAGGACGCAATCTCGGCATCCTAGATAACAGACAAAAAATACTTGTCGAGAGATTCGTCTTATAAGCGAGCTTTCAAGGGCCTATGCCTGTTTGATGCGGCGTAACTGATCCGAAGTCGCTCATCATTAGATCAAGGTTCTGGTTTCACGAGATAAGACTCATAAGTATGTACATGCTCTCAACATTGCTCCCTTATGAAAGAATTCAACACAGGCTGTCCTCGTGCAAAGCCACCTCGACTGACATCGTCACTGTTATCAGACCATGTTCTCAAAATATTAGGTACGTACCTGCAGCTTCGCGGCCCAAACTCCGGTTCATCGCAAGTGGGGCCCGTGGTCTCCAGCCGACACCACCGAATATGGGTCTGGCACGGTCGGTGGTCTCGGAGACGAGTGGGGAAATCTGCGCCGTCTATTCCTGCAGGCAAGATGACCTTGGACCCACTAATTCCTCACCTTGGATTATCCACATTCTTCCCCTGCCACTCACCGAATCTTCACCTCGGAGGGGCTTCAAAAAATTATTGTTTGCTTCGATCATCACCGACGTACAAACGTTCATTACACTCACCACGCCAACTACCAGTCTGCAAATACATAATACCCACCATCGCAATGGCACCCACACAGCAGGCTGCGTGGAGAAAAGCTCCTACTGCAGAGGAAATTGCCAATCGTCAGGTAAACTTCAATTGAGCAATGCTGAATGCACTGTAACCTAACTTTTGCGCCCAGACTGTTGGCATCAACAAGGAAACCGTCACAAACATCACCTCGACTGATTACCCAGGCCATCACCCTGGCGAAGACCTCGCATTCACGCTCGATCGTTTCCGCGATGCGTTTTCCGTAAAATTTCACCAGAACGACCAGTTCCTCGCCTCTTTCTCTCTTGTCGGAATCGATGCTTCGCTCGCAAACGCTTTTCGACGTATTCTACTCTCCGAGATCCCCACACTCGCTATCGAGAACGTTTATATCGAGAACAACACCTCCGTCATTCAAGACGAGGTTCTCGCGCATCGTCTTGGACTCATCCCATTCAAGGGTGGTCGTGAGGGTCTGCACAACTTCCTCAAGTGGCACAAGAAGCCGGAGGCTGGCGAGGACCCTTATGCCGGCTGCTTCGACTGGAATACGGTCCGCCTCGAGCTCAACGTGACATGCACCGTCAACGAGGACGCTTCGCCCGCTGAGAACGACCCTCTCAAGGCTTACCATAACGCCCACGTTTATGCGCGCGACATCGTCTTCGTTCCTACTGGCAAGCAGGTCGAGTACTTCAGCGGCGAGGACGCCATTGCGCCCACGAACCCAGACATCTTGATCGCCAAGTTGCGACCCCGACAGACCATTAACCTCGCCATGCATATGCACAAGGGAATCGGATCCGATCACGCCAAGTTCTCTCCTGTCGCGACAGCCTCCTACCGTCTCCTACCTACCATTACCATTACCAAGCCTATTCTGGGCGCTGATGCCGAAAAGTTTGCCAAGTGTTTCCCCAAGGGTGTCATCGGCCTCGAAAAGGTTACGGCTGAGGAAGCTGCTCGGGCTGGTAGCGGCTATGAGGACCAGGAGGGCGAGACTAAGGCCGTGGTTGTAGATGCGATGAAGGACACTGTCAGTCGAGAGGCTCTACGACACAAGGAGTTTGAGGGCAAGGTGAAGCTTGGCCGAAGACGAGATCATTTTATCTTCTCCATCGAGAGCACAGGGCAATGGGACAGCGATGAGCTTTTCCTCGAGTCAGTTAAGCACCTCAAGCTCAAGTGCAAGAAGCTTGAGCAGCAAGTTATCAACATGGCGAGGTAGCCTACTACATCATAAAGAGATTTCGGGTCTTGTTTGGCGCAGTATCATAATTTTTGGGTTGATTTGTTTTCTGCGGTCTCTACGGTTAGATAAAAAGGAATGATACCATGACCACATCATAATATTCGTCACCCGTTTCCTCTCTGCCCCCTAAAAAGGATACTCATATAGTATTTTTGAGTCGTCATCACGGACCTCTCATTCATTAATCCAACGCCTACAGATGCCGAAAAGCCCGAACGCCTTACTGACCACTTGGCCGAGAATCAAGAACTTGTCTTAAACTTGAAGTAAAAGTTGAATTCAAGGGGGAACGCAGGATCAGTGATAACAACCTGCTGTCCGTCTTCGAGCCCAAGCTCTATGAGGGCCTTACTCAGGTTCGGGCGTGTCTGCTCCTCCAAGCCTGGAGGAAATTGCATGTATAGAGTTTTTCCTTCGGCACGGATCGATGGCTTCTTTAATTGCGCTTCGGGGCGAATCGCGAATGAGTCGATTAACTCCTGCAGAGTGGACTTGGGGTTGACTTCAAGAGGCCGAGCCTGGCGTCCACAGACAGGGCAGTCATCCTTCTTCTCATGCTTGAAGGTGTATGTATAGATGCTATCATTGCCAGAGTACATCATATAGTTTGTGTCGAATCCAAGACAAGGGGCGGAGGTTGTCGCGATTTTAAATGCTTCGTTGCAGCATGCAGCGGCGATGATAGCATTGGTAGATGCAATCGCCGGAATGATGTTCTTGATGGTTCCTTGCGTTAACGAATAAGTGACACCAGGAATGCCAAACTCTTCCGCACGAGTAAGGGCTTTCTGGAACAGCCAGGTTACATGCTCTGGGTCATCCTTGTCAAGCTTCGGGAATGGCTTTTCTTGCTCCCAAGCAATAACGTGGGCCCATTCGATGCAGTGCTCAGGTTGTCGTGGGATTGAGGCGATAGTACATAGAGGAACAGCGGCGCGCGGGGCGTGCATATCCAGCTGGCACTCAATACAGGATGTCATGGATGGGAGGATGACTCGCGCCTGTCCCTTGAAACCTTCAGTGCCACCGTCAATGAGGGGCTTTATCGCATCGGGGTCTTCAGCGTCTTCGGCAATAGAAACAAGCATGGCGTTAATCCAACGGCGGGCCTCGATGCTGTCTAGACCGCAAATTACAAGCTGGAACTGCTTGTAAAACTCCTCGTCGAAGTCCTGGATACGGTTGTTGTGGGCTGTGATGGAGACGCCCTTGACTCTCTTTTGGACGAACGCAGCGGCAACCTCTGCTTTGTATTTGCCAACATCATCCTTTCGGAATAAGAACTGGCGGTTGAGGTTGGAAATGTCGATGGTATCTGGAGCAAGATGAGCCCGCGATCTTTAATAGAAAAGACGATTCACAAACCCATGTCTATTACGTGAATGTTCCTGAATCTGGACATGGCCAGATTCTTCAAGATTTCACATCCTAGGCCTCCTGCGCCGCTGTATTAAGGCAGTTAGTGAGCTGGACATTTGAGTCTTTCAAGAGAGATGACTGACATGACGCTACACAAATTAGTATGGTTTTCATATGATGTTACATGTGTACATCAACACTCACAGAACTTTGAACGTTTCAAACTGCGCCAGAAACTCCGGCGCAGTAGCATCGGGATCGGTATAAGGTCCTGCGTTACGGCGGATTTGGTCGAGATATTTCCTTGCCTTGCGGTCAGTTGTTTGTTTGTGGTTCTAAGAGCTCCAGCAGCTCCCAGCTAAAAGGTCTTACCATCGCGCGTCTTCGTAGCCGCCGGCAGCTTCCTGAGCCACACTAGCCATATTGAAGATCTCCAAGGACTTTGTAGAAGAAGGACAACAAGCCAAAGGAAAATATGAGTAGGTTCGCAGAGAGATATGTAAGATCAGAGAGTGGTCGGTAGCTTGGTTACTAAGGTAAGGTAAGGAGCTCTGAAAGGATCCGTGTGTGGGGGAGGATCGTCATTGCCTGAAGCTGGCTCGGTGAAGCTCGGTGAGGGTGGGGTCAAGGTGAGTGAATGCTTTCGAGCACCTAAACCTAAACACCAGGCAATAAAGTATACTTCTATCAAGCTCTCATAGCCCAAACAGCATAACATTTGGTGGACAACTCGCCAGATTAAACTAAACAGACTAGAATGGACGACCTTCTCACCCCTGTGAGCACAACCTATCTCAAACCTCGAAATGAGCCTGAGCCACTTTTCACAGAGGTTAAACCAGCTTCTATCCAAAAGAAACCAGCCAGCATCAGTGACAAGTCAACGGCTGATGAAATTATCGATGCATTAAAAAGTCAACCAGACTACGATGCACTGATTTCGATACTGGATTTTCTAATTAACCCAAAATCTGCGTCGAGTAACTTCTCATTCTCAACTCCCAGTCCCAAAACTGCGTCTATCGTCCATTTGCTGGTCTCGGAGATCGCATCAAATTACTGGACACTTTTACTTGAGGGAAACACCGAAGATGATACAAAGCGCAAAACAGAACTTCCACGAGATGCGGATCTTTTTCTTGGCTGTCTACGCAGTCTGACAGGTCTCAACGCTGTCATCACACAACTGCGAGTTCTCATTCAAGAGTCACGGCTAGGAGGCAAAGAAGAGAAGAGAGTAGACTTATCAATCAACACCGGCATTCTGTTGAGTATTCTTTCTTCCATTGTTGGCAGTGCTCAGTCAATCTCCACGATATGGAGCTCATCGACCAGCGGAATTTCTAGTGCCGCGCTGCAAAGAGTTCAGTGTCAGAAACTTGCATCAATTCTCTCGAACGGTCAGATTGTGTCAGTCGCAGCGGAAGCTTTAGATGTCCTGGGACGGGATCAAGTCGACGACAGGGTTCATTGGATTGCTGACGGACTAAAATATAGCAGATGGGTGGGAAATGCTATTGTGTCTTGGGTTCATTCATCTCCTGAACCTAGTGGCATGGCCTTCGCTTGTGAGTTGTTCCAGAAGTCTCTGTCGCTACAACATTCAGGTAAGACACATACGAATTTCATTTATTGATACTCGCTGATAATTATGCCGCAGAAACTCTTATCAAAATTGTAATCGATGGACTTCTTCTTTCTAAAAGAAACTCAATTTCAACCTTTATACAACTTGCTCTCAGCCAACATCGAACTTCTAAGAAGGTATTCCATATTTTACTTCAGCACCTTTCACAGAAATACTTGAATCGTCTGAGCCTGGAAGATACACATCCCGACGACAAGGTATCTGCCGTTGCCGGGCTTCTCGTGGAAGTCGCATTGAATGACGAAACGAGAAGAGATGTTCTTATCAATTGGTGTGCATCTTCATCAGGTGCTGGTGTTGGCGATGGAGTAGGTATTCGCAGAGCTGCCATAGCTGCACTCGCACGAGACCGAGAAGCGATTACTACAGTACTGGAGAAAAGCATTGCACAATTTGGAGATGAGCTGTACATCAGACATTCGGCAATGCTTCAGCAAGATGGTAACAACTATCTGCACGGGGCTCACCTACATGCTTGCTAACGTTTTGTAGCGCATACCCAAATCCTGCTCCTTGCCGCTGGCTACGTACACAGAGTTTCTCCAATGAAATTGACGTTGCTCATGCGAGTGGGCACATACATGAACACCATCTCCAATCGCATTGGTTCCACACAACCCAGAGCTCAGTTTCTTGGTTTGGTAGTTGGGGAATCGTTGTCTGCTTTGATCGACGATAAGAAGCAGAGGCTCGATTTCAAGATGGAGCAGACAGAAACAGAGGAGGCGCGGCAATTAAAGAGCCTAACCGAGGTCTCTGACCCTGTTGGCCCTATCGACCCTATCCTATTCCAGCACGCAATTGAGACTGTCCCTCAGAAGCAAAAGCCTTTAACGCCAAGCGAGACTCTTCAAAAGAAATACAAGCAAAAGAAGAAGCCTGTTGTTACCGAAGCTAAGCCAAAAGCCATCATCGAGGAGATTGATTCTTCAGAAGAGGACGACGATCTCGCCCCTTACTCGAAAGACTCTGACCCTGAAGACTCGGATGATGATGCAACACTTGTGCAACGCAACAAGCCCAAACCGCCTGTTTACATCAGAGATCTCATATCGTATTTCAGAGACTCCGAATCATACGACAAACAGTTGCTCGCTTTACAGACAGCTCCAATTCTCATCAGACGCAAGGCCAATTATGGAACCGAGGTAAGTTCTCACGCTGATGAATTGGCTGGGCTTTTGGTGGGTATACAAGACAAGTTTGAGATCGAAAATTTCGATGATTTACGATTACACGGTATGGTAGCGCTTGTTGTCTCTCAACCTAAGACTATGGCCCCATGGTTTGCTCGAACTTTCTTCGAGGGCGACTACTCCCTCCACCAACGGACATCAATACTCGTCACGTTGGGCCTGTCAGCCCGAGAACTGGCGGGTTTCGAAGTATCTCAATACCAGTCGGCTGCTGCATTTCCCTCAAAGCGGCTACCTGAAAAGATGGAGCAACTTTATATTGGCTCTGGAAATGACAGCAGCACCTTACCGTCGTCCCAGCTAAAAGCACTCCCATCAACTGCTCTCGAGAATATTTCACAGTCGCTGACGTCTACGTTTCTTGCTCCGCTTGCTGCAGAAGCAGCCGATGCCAACACAGGCCCTGATGTTTTGAAGCTTCAAAGCTTCACGGCCCGCTACAAGTCCAAATCAGGTTCCAAACCTCGTATGCGTGATATTCCCAATACGACTGCCGCTTTGCTTGCGACGTCCTTCTTTTCCCCACTCACGGCGCATTTCCAGGTCGCGCTTCGTTCTGCCAAACCAATCGTACTCAACCATGCACTTCTGGCGCTCTATCTACAGACGTTAGGCATTGTTGTTCACGCCGCCGGGCCCTCCACACTTTCGCTGCCACAGTTAACTGCGGAGCTATGGGATTTACTTCTAGGCGTTCGTGTACATGTTTTTGGTGATCTCGGCGCCATGAAAGGATGGCTCGTGGCTATGGCGTCCCTGCTGGAAGTAAATGGTGGCGACATGCGTCGGCTCTGTGAAACCCAAGGCAGAGAGGTGATGGAGACAAGAGAATGGGTCGCAATGGTGTTCGAGAAGACCAGAGGGGAGGATGGTGGTGAGGAGAACGAGGTCAAAATGCTAGCTGCAGGAGTTTTGATCAGGTTGGGAGAGGCCATCGAAAGGTACCAAGCTTTGCTAATGGGAGATCTGGTCGGATTCCAGTAAGCTAAATGCAGGAGCTTGGTCAATGAGGGGAATTTTTGAACATTCAATTCGTGTTTGATTATGACGATATGTTGTATTACACAATATCCAGCCTTTAACCGATTTTCGATGTAACGGGAAGCCATTTCCAAACTCCAAGATCACGTGGTGTTATATTATCAGTTCTCATGTACATTCATGAATGTCTTCAAGGGGTCTCAATAGACTCCATCCTCGTTGTGCTCGCTCTTCGAAGTGGAAGACCTGACAAATATGTATTCGCATGGCTGAGATGATCACTTAGGCTCATGGCCATGCGTCGAAGCTCCTCCTTGACATGTTCTGATGAGGCCTGGCCTTCCATAACTTGGGGTGAGGGTGCAGTGGGTGCAGGTGGGAGGGATGGATGTTGTTGATAAGATCGAGGGTAGTCATCCCGAACCGGTGACTGATCTAATTGAGGCTGAAGTGGAGGAGGTTGAAGTTCAGGGGCGGCAAGCGTTTGAGTAAAAGATTCAGGGTCAGTATCGGCGAACTCGCTGAGGGAGTAGGGCCTTTCACTCGAGATGCTCCCGTTGGTCTGGGAAGATTGGGGTTGTCCCTGGGGTTGATACAGTGGAACCTGTGTTTGCTGGTAGGACATCTGAGGATCATGTCGCTGGGTGTTATTCAGCGAAAGGTCTGCAACGGCATTTGCAAACTCAGAATCATCAGATACATAGATGGATGGTTCTCGTATACTGTTGGGCATAAGGTAAAGAGAGGCGTGCTTTTCTAGCTGGAAAGGATCGGCCCCTCCTAATTCCGAGCCAGCCAATGATCCTACATCCGAGTGTGATGTGGACGGCCTTGTATAGTCGCTCATAGGAACGGGATCAGCTAGACCCATGTCCAAATCAATGAGACTGCCTGACGACGCTCGGTTGTTGACTGGGGAGGGAACCGCAAGGTCGTTGAACTGCGCCGAAGGCTGGATTGGCTCTGTCGGAGGGTGGATCAGGCGGCTGGTACTTGGCCCTTGGTCATCGTTGAATGGAAATCTGAACATTTCCGGGTTTGCTGACGCGGGAGGGGCCATGGAAGGGAACTTCCAATCTCGTGTCCTGCGGTTGTTGTTCATCATATCTGCTGGATCACTAAGTGGTGGTTTATTATAGGAGACATCTCCAAAGTCATAGTCGGTCGATGCCCTAGGATCTCCAGCTCTGATTGTGTTCAGGTCAACAAATTCGGAGAGGTTGCTACCATCTAGGGACATGTCAAGATCAATCAAGGATTCTCTCACTCCAGGAGACTGAGATGAGTCGTCTCTAAGCGGTAAATCCGACGCAGGAGGTGGGGGTGGAGGGGTGAAATCGGCAGTAGGCGGAGGAAACGGACGACCATAATATGCTCGTGAGTTGTCCTCGTAGTTCGATATCGTATTTGGGTCAAATAGCTTTTCCAATGGTGCCTTGACGGAAGGAAGGTGAGGTGGCGGACGCCGACGTGATTTTGGCTTTTGGGTTCTAGAAGCATCGTCGAACTCATCATGCTTGAAGTCGACGTTAGAGCCATAAACATCAAACACAGCTTGAGCGTCGCCAGTTTGGAGCACCTGTTGATCGAACGCAGCGGTTGTGCTGAAGTTCCACTCATCATTGTCCAAGGCCAAGTTAGCGAGGTCAGATGGCCCCTGGGCTCCTCCTGCGGAGAAGAGGGACTTGCGAACACCGCCTTGAGCTTCCCACAACTTGTAGCCTCTAACCAAGTGTGCCAAACTCGAAGCAGGATAAGCATCCTGTGTGTTGGATATGTAACGGTGTCTCTGAATTTGCTCAATTGGTGGGCGTTTCTTAGGGTCATCAACCAAGCAGTACGCCACGAGGTCTTTCAACCCTTGGGAATATCGGTCGCCATCAAGTCGAGGGATGTGTTGTTTGAGGTATGAGCCTAGTCTGTTGAAGTCCATCATGCCTGCAGCTACGCTTGGTGGTAGACCCGATGCAATTTCGTAGACCATGGCGCCAAAAGCCCATATATCCACCTCAGTACCATAAGAAGCCGCAGGGTCGAACAGTTCCGGGGCCATCCAATGGGGTGTGCCAATGACTGTTGAGCGCTTGTCAAATTTGGTTTCGATAACACCAGCAACTCCAAAATCACAAAGCTGGACGTTTCCCTCCTCCGTGACTAAGATATTGGCACACTTGATGTCTCTGTGAATGATACCCTGGCCATGAACCCAGTAGACAGCCTCGGCCACTTCGCGCAAAATGGGGATAATCCATTTTTCCTGAAGGCCACCCGGTGAGGTTGGTTTCATAAGGGTAGCCACGCTGCCTCCAGCGCAGTATTCTGTAATCATCCACATGGACTGTCCGACAGGCAGAGCATCGATAACATGATTGATGTTCCTGGCGCCACTGTTGCTGAGCAGTTGCAGGGCACTAATTTCCTTAAGCAAGTCGCTATATGTATCGGCGAGCTTGGGGTTAACTGTGTCACTCTCTTCAATGTCGATGATTTTGACGGCAACCAGCTGATTCGTTGTTAGAGAGGTGGCCTTGTAGACTCGACCGAAACTGCCTTTGCCAATGAGCTCTGAAAGCCGATACTGTGGAGGGTCCTTTCCGACTTTTGAGCACTGCTCGGCAACCACTTTTTGCATTTTCTTTGCATCTTCAATGGCTTTCTGCTTTGTGACCGAAAAGTCCGGCCCTCTGACTTGAAGCGACGACATGATGATGAATGTTGTGAGGCCTGTCTCGGGTTACTTAGCAGGGGATGTGTAACCAAGCTAAGATCGCTTGAGCTTGATATGCCTAGTTGGTTCACTTCATGATAGCCTGGACATGTGATGCATGTGAGCGAAGACGGAGACTGGGCTGAGTGCGAGCTATGAGAAACGAAGGCGAGGAGTGATAACTGGAGGTGAATTTTGTTTCTTTGGTGATGGCGAAAGTGTTGAAGGAATTGGGTTTGTTGTAACATTCAATGTTGCATATTTGGAAAGGGGCCCTTGACGCTTTCCCCAAGTTACAGGTTACGGTGGTAGCCAATGAGCGGACCTGACAACGTTGTGGCGGGGCAGACTAGGGTGGCTAATGCGAAAAGACAGCCTCATCTCCAGTTCCCTTCACTTGGCAGCTTGGCTAGGGAAGGAAAGAAAACACAGGACCTTAACCCTAAGTAATAAACATATTTAGGTAAATCTAGCCTAAGTTTAGGGGGCGCTTTTCTAAGTTTATTTAAACACCCTATATCAAGGTCCGGTGTTTTCTTGCTCCCCGAGGCTTGGGTGCAGTGTTGGCGTTAGCGGCCAATTGCAATCATGATACGACGATGAAACTAGAACTGTCACAATCCGAGTTGGGATACAATGATTTTTCGTTAAAAAGCTCAATTCTCGTAGGTTATTTGTCATTTGAAATACCCTTCAGTCGTTTGCCTGACGTTTATCCTTTTTCTACATCACTTTAGCACACAATATCTCTTTGCGGTTAAACCTATCAAGGAATTCCGACAAGACAACTCACTTCACCAGCCATGATGTTTCAGACAACCGCCCAGATACAGCACACATCGCCTATCTCCTCAACTACTGAAGCCCCAAAAGCCATAGAGATGCTCCACGACCATATTTTCTTCTTAAATTGTAATCCTTATATGTCCAAATTCGAAGCTATGCCCACTCCCGACCCTACTCCATTGGTTCCTGACACACTTGAGGTCAAAACTATCGCAGCACCAGACTGTTATTCGGTCACAGACCGAATTCATACCTTACCCGCAGGGCTATGGGACTCCGATGTGATTAGTTCATACGAGTTTTTTGACCTGGAAAACGGTGTGTTTGTGAGAACTCGTGGTCCAATGGGTCTGGTACTTGAGACTATTTGGAAGATAAAAGAATCTGAGGGTGGAAACTTGGAGATCGTGGAGCAGGTCTCTATTACATGCTCTAAGCTGATCATGGGTATGATCAAAAGCTCTTGTGAGGCTGGATGGAAAGGGGTTCATGGAAAGATGCTTGAGAGGATAGAAGAGTCCTCATAGGCGAATGTTCTCAGCACTACCCTAAGAACAAGAATTGGACGGTAAATCCAGGTTAAGGCCCTTCTTTGTGGCAATATCTTACTTGGGATTGTTTCCTCCCAAAGTCGTGTCTCTAATAATCACCAACAATGCGCCAAGTAGCTCTAAGACCAGAGTTCACGATAGATGTAGTGCCTATGCTTTTGCAGAAATAATAGCATATGTGCTGGCATTACAATGTCATCTTATGTTGATCGAATGAGAGAAAGAATGTATTCCAGTCTCATTCTTGCTTCTCAAATGAGCATCATCCCAGGCAACAGTCATAAACTTCAGCCCCGAGCAGGCAACAACAGGAGCCTAGGTAACAGCCCAAGTATGTTATACCCTTTCACTTAGACTGGCCACCTATCAAGGTGGCAAAGCCAGCTCATTGATTAGAGGTTGCAGCAAGCTTTTGCCTAAGGTACCTAAATAACTTTACCCTCATGAGTCATTCTCGAAGTTCAACCTCAGTATCAAGGCCATCATGACCATACCGGCCGGGTATAAAAGGAGCGCTTCCTCCAAATATTGCTTTCTCTTTTTCCTTCTTCTTCACCTTCTTCTTTGCCATAAGGCTCGGATCAAAGTGCAGTAACTGTTCTTGTTGAGGCTAACCCCTCAACACGGGTCATAAACTGGCTCGATACCATTCTGATTTTTGGCTTATTGGTGATGGCTCAACGGCGCTTGCGTGGTTGAATCGTTCCCGAGGTGTCCTTGGTATTACACTGTCTCCAAGCGATGCACATATGTTTTGTGTCTCTCAGTACATTCGTAATTATGCTTTCATTGCATCTTGGCTGGTATATCCAGCGGTGCGAAGAAGGCCACTTCCGCTGCAGATAGGTATCGTATTACTTCATACTTAGAGCAGCTGAAGTTCTGGAGAGAGAGTCGTGACGGGTTGTTGCGCACTCCCTCACAGCCAAACTTTTGTAGACCAAGTTTAGATCCACGTCGAAATAAATAAATTCTCGCGATTTATATATGAAGGGGGAACAGCACATTTGCATACCGTAATTTGGGAAATAAACAATGAATTTGTGACATATTGCACAGAAAAAAAGTGACAGCCGTGAACACTGGAATTTTTGAAACAACTCTGTGGTCATAAAGCATGGGACGTTAAATAGTAGATACCATAAGGAGATACGCCGTAACACGGCCAGAGAGTCGAGGCGAGATAGGGGACACCCATGGATTTGCTCTCTACTATCGTCACGTGATCGCGCGACATCCACTTTGCCACCTATCGCGCTTTCGCGTTAAGAGGTTCAAAGCATCCCACTTCGGTTTGGGTTGGCTGCTGATTTTCCAGGACATCTTTCTATGCATTATTTGCCTTTTGCTCATTGTATTGACGACAACTAAAGGACCTGGGTCCTTTTTCAGTCCTTCATCCTGCCGAAACAACATTCAATACTCACTATTCCATTGGCTATCATCATGGTGGCACCGAAAAAGTCCAGCCAGTCTCATACACCTAAAAAGACAACCTCGCATTTATCCAAAAAGCCAGTCAAGGCCAATCAAAGTATCCTTAGCTTTTTTAAAAAGGCTGAAAAACATGAGGCCTCTCTGTTTCTCGGGGCTGCGCCGGACCCTATTGAGCACGAAGACCTCTACAATGCCGATGACGCCGACGACTCGATTCGATGCAACGAGGCCGAATCACCCAATAAAAAGAGGAAACTGAGCGAAGAACCGGAACAATTGCCCAAGGTCAAAATTTCCGTAAACGCTGAACAGGTGGCCGGGGCTGAAGACCGATTCTCAACCGCAAAGTATGATGGCGAACCCCCACGGAAGTCAACAAAATCCAAAATCAAGACGCCATTCGTGATGGACTCGGACAGTGAGGATGAGCCCGAAAACGATATTATGGCCACAAACAACAAGCCTGAAAATAACGGCCAATGTACGGAGCTTTCCCCGCAAAACGAGGTCCAGAAGGACGGTTTTACTAAGATCGATGAAAAGAAGGAAGCAGATATTACCACACAAGCCTTGAAACGGGAAGATTCAACATACCAACAATTCGGCGACATCGGAGAAGTAGTAGACGAGGAGTTCCCAGATCTGAACGATCTCGAAGGAGAGGAAATGCGAGTAATGCGTTACATGAGAGAGCAAGCTAGGTTAGAAGCGGAGGAAGCTGGGATTTCAAGCGAAGACCTGGCCGATGACCCCCTTGACGATAATCATATGACAGAGTGTTGTCCTATATGCAGTGGGAGCCTGGTGGGGATATCCATCGACGAAGCAACGCGGCATGTCAATTCCTGCCTTGATGGACACCCGATCCCGTTGCCAAAACCGGAGCAAACACCAGAACGAATCAAGTTGGAGAAGCCAATTTCAGCGATTCCTGACTCGACCCCTGAGGTCGAATCGACCGACGTCAGCAAAAGATTTGCACGGGCTGCTGTTCCCAGGCCCGGTCAGGCGAATCCTTTCGAAGTTATAAGTTCTGGCCCGGCACCGAAGTCGGCTTTCTCGAAACTCATGTCCAATAATGCCGAGGATTCAGCATGGCAAGAGGCTGCTGCTGCTGAGCACGCTTCCCGAGGAAAGCAAGCATATGAGAGGACGTGCCCTTTCTACAAGATAATGCCTGGGTTTTCCATTTGCGTGGACGCTTTCCGGTATGGCGCCGTCCAGGGTTGCAAAGCATATTTCTTGAGTCATTTTCACAGTGACCACTATATTGGTCTTACAGCAAGATGGTGTCACGGTCCTATTTACTGCAGCAAAGTCACGGGCAGTCTTGTCAGAAATCAACTTCGTACAGCGGCAAAATGGGTTGTAGAGCTTGAATTCGACAAATCCTATGACATACCAGGGACAGAAGGCGCGAAAGTAACGATGATACCAGCAAATCATTGTCCAGGAAGCTCTCTCTTCCTTTTTGAAAAGACTATGAAGCAAGGCTCCAACAGCCGTATTCAACGCATATTACATTGTGGAGACTTCCGTGCTTGCCCTGCGCATGTCAACCATCCCCTTCTCAAGCCAGAGGCTATTGACGCAATCTCTGGAAAGTCCAAGCAACAAAAGATTGATATCTGCTACTTGGACACCACGTATCTCAATCCACGATATTCTTTTCCACCCCAGAATGATGTTATAAAGGCCTGTGCCGACCTTTGTGGCTCATTGTCTCCTGATCCCAATTGCAAAGACGATATTTGGGAAAAAGCTGGCGGACAAGGAACTCCAGCAGTCAGCAAGTTCTTCCCAAACACAAAACCGGATGGGACCGCAAAAGTGGACAATAAAAAGAAACACCCTCAACGGCTGCTCGTAATCTGCGGAACGTACTCCATTGGAAAAGAACGCATATGCATCTCCATTGCTAAAACACTCAAGTCCAAAATCTTTGCATCACCTGGCAAGATCAAGATCTGTAAACAGCTGGACGACCCAGAGCTCACGGCACTCCTTACATCTGATCCCCTCGAGGCACAGGTGCATATGCAGATGTTGATGGAGATTCGTGCAGAAACTCTCCAAGAGTACCTGAACAGCTATAAGCCGTACTTTAGTCGTATTGTCGGACTTCGGCCAAGCGGTTGGAACTTCCGACCAGCAGGTAAAACCATCGGTGCGAACACACCGCCTGGCAGCATTCATATTCAGCAGATCCTCCACGACAAGGGCTGGCGAACACGATTTGGATATAAGGATTTTGTTCCGCAGAGAGGCAGTACCAAGGAAGCCATGTGCTTTGGGGTTCCTTACTCAGAACACAGTAGCTTCCGAGAGCTCGCTATGTTTGTTATGAGTTTGAGAATAGAGAAAGTCATCCCGACAGTCAATGTAGGGAGTGAACAGTCAAGAAAGCGCATGAAGGGTTGGGTAGACCGCTGGCTTTCAGAAAGAAGACGGGCTGGATTGGTAATGCCGCTCATTGAAGGTGAAGACGATGACAGGGTGCCGGACCAGGAACTCTGGGACGGTAAACCTGGTAAAGCTGGCGGAGCATTTTGGTGATCGATCATGATGTGGAGCGATTTGTATAGTATTTTCTTGAGCGGGAGTTCCATCTGATGACGTTTAATTTTCAGATATCATGTTGACACGTCAACGTCGTCAATCGTTTCATGACTCTCGGTTCTGTATAATATTTTAAAGGAAAAGAAGAGCATTCAATTATCCGCATCAGGAACAAACGCCTCATGAATCCTCCCTAGTGATCATTCCGGTTTCGATGTAATTATCATTCTCTCCATTCAGCACGAATCAACTCCGAAAAAGTTTATCTTGCCTCTCATCCATCGCCTTGAACTGCTCATTTCGCCTTAGCTTGCTGAGCTGCCGCTTCTATAACACACATGTTAGTATACCGTATTAACTTTCTTTGAAACACAACTTACCCCTCCGAGTAGCATCCTCCAGTAGCTGTGTGTCAACTGACGCGCCGGGAAGATGAACGTATCTCACAACTGAGCCTCGGATAAAGACGTTCTTGACAGAGCTCTGTGATAATACTCAGTAAGCTATCAGGTTTCTTTCACGACGCCCAGGATAAGGATATAGTTAACATACAAGATGAGGGTACTTGAGCTCCTCAACAACCTGAATGTCATCGAGCTTGATGTTGAGGTACTGATCCACGCTCTTGAGAATTCCCTTTAGCTGAATGTCATTCTTGAGCTCTACAGTGACCTCATGGTCAATGAGTGTCTTGAAAAAGCTGTATGAATAGCGTGTCAGTGTGCGAACAAGGGCGTTAACCACATAGAAGATAGTCCGATGGTACCTGAAAAAGAGCATGGTGTCGGTGGCTTTTTCGCGCTTGAGGCTTTATGCGGGATAAATCGAATATGTTTTGGGGGTTCACGAGTGCTCTTCTTGTAGTTGCAATCGGTTTTGTTTCTCGAGCGAGTTTCTGTGTCGAGGAGGAGACTTAGATGTTTGTTTGGTAGTGCAAGATCTCCATCATGATAGCGTCTACAGCCAAGGCATCATTTACTATGGTCACGTGACTACTCATGATTCATCAGCAACACACGTAATGATAGCGAATCAACAATAATTCATCCTTGGATTCTTGAATCTGTGTCATATTTACATGGATATTTCTTTGGCATTCATACGTCTGCTTGGATGAAAAGTCATGCTCAGGTAGTTCTATTACCTTCTAAATAAAACCGGCCATGAACCAAGACTGACTGGAAGCCAAATCCATTCGCGCTGCAGGTAAGACTTGTAAATAACCATACGTCTTTATAGACCTTAAATCCTCGCTTTAATCTTCGGGTGGTTCTCGTGTCCTCTTCTTAGCAACAAATGTCCGACCCCCTCACACGATTCCCCTTGCCTTCAATAAGCAAAAGCCTCCATGTGCAACCACGCAGTGTATATCAATAGTGTATAGACCCTATCATTCCAACGCCTTGCAAGACTGGAAAATGCCGATTCGTTTTCTTTCGTGATTCGTGAGATTGAGCTTGTAGTCTACGCTACATAGCGATACAAAGTTGGTGCGTCATCTTCATCAGGGCGCTCAAGATATTCTCTCGCGATGAGATCCTCGATACGCTTCTTGATGAGGGCAACCTCGGGACGGAAACTACCGGAGAGTTGTGACAGAACTTCACTAGTGAGCTGCGAGTGAGAAAGCTCCTTTCGAGATCTACGAGAGTTAGTATGTAAAGCTGCCAGTAAGACTTAGACTTGGGACCTACTTCATGATTCGCACAATTGCCGCATCGACAACGTGAGCTCTGGTTTGGTTGTTCTTCTCCTCAGTGTTCTTTCGCTCCGTGTTATCTTCTACCTTAGACACCGCGTTGATGATTGGTGCTTTGATTCGTATGGTCTTGCTCTGGAAAGATGCATTGAAAGAAAACTTATCACCTGCTTTTACAGACTTGTTGGCAGGATCCTTCATCAAGACGCGAGACTTGGGTGCCACAGCAATAGCTGTCAGCGTCCTCATGAGATCTGGAGTTGAGATGTTGGTCTTAGCTTGTATCTCTTCGAAGGTTAATGACTGGCCCTCCTCAAGATCATTGAAGAGAAGTAAGACAACCATCGCAAAAGTTGGTACGTTGATCTCGTATCTTCGCTCCCGAGAGAGCGGCCCAGACTTTCCAGAGATGGCCGGAAAAGTACATTTGACATCTGAACTGCCAGTGGTACCAATCCAGGTGAGCTTGCGTCCATTACGGTTAGTTAGATAGTACTGCTCAAAGCTCGCCTGCAATCGTCGCAGTTCAGGGGGATATGTGCACGTAACACGAGATCCTTCGCCAATTTGTGTAGTTCGGCCCATGACCTCGGGTGGCCAGTAGTTTGTAGTGAGAACGTTGATGTTAAGATCGATGGTTTTGCCACTGCCATCTCCCAGGTCACGAATGTGGTCACGATAGCCACTGGTGAGCTCTGTGGACGTGACAAGATCTCTGAACATGCCTTCAAACTTGCTGGTGAACTGTTGGCCGAGCTCTTGTTTCATTCGGGAAATGATCTGCTTTTCAACATCATGGCTTTCGGACTTTCCGTGGAGGAGGCGTCTTGCTAGATGTCTCTGGTAGTATGTCTGGAACAGATCTCTATCCTGAAGGTATCGAATCAGGACGATAGCTTTCTCTAGAACGATGTCGACCTCTGCCTCTGTCTTGCCTTTGATGCCTCTCTTTAGATTGTCATCGATAAACAGAGAGACATATTCAGAGCTGCGGCTGAACATGTTGATAAAGTCAGAGAAGCTCTTGGTCAATGCGCTTTGGATAATAAGATCTCCCTGAAAGCAACGAGCCCAGAGGTTATCGAACTTGTCCTTCAGACGGAGTACATCGTCTACCCATTTGATCGCAGCAGCTGTCTGCTGCGCCGCAGGGTTCAAGATCTTTGTCTTTTCCCCTTCACCGGCCTCGTCTCCTTCGCCATGACCAGACGAGAAATCAGTGTTCTTCAGTACCTTCTCAATCTCCAAGCCTAGCTCAACCACTCGACTTTGCAATATGTCTCGTAAAGCAGTCTTCTTTGAATCAACCCTGGAGATGAGTTTGTAGAGAATCGAGAGGTCGTCAATCTTGTCGTTGTCAATCATCCATTTCAGGCCACTCCCCTCAAGAGCCAAAAATTCGGACAGATGCTTGACTATTAGTTCTTGATCAATAGTTTGCGTGACTTTAGGTAATGTCTCTAACTCGATTGTTGTTCCACATCGATCGATTTCTTCGTTCAGCCGCAGTTGGGTGTGTCGCAACCAAGCTCCGGCATCCGACTCGCGTAGTAGTTTCTCACACTCAGCGGCATAGTATGTCTTGCTGTTCTCGAGGAAGCGAGGTTCGAATACTGTCATGTACAGTTTATCGTTTTCCTTCTCTTCTTCGGTTTCGTAGAGGCTGCTGAGCATTCGACTACAGCTTCGAATGAGATTTCTGTCGATGATGTCTCCTTCGCGCTCCATATCGATCTGGTCGAGGACCACTGATATAAGGATATCTATCACCTTGCTCTTTGTGTTCGTGTTCAGCGAAGATCGTAGAATATGATCACGGAAAAGCGCGATGGTGGTGGCGAAGATGGGGGTTCGTTGGGCCTCGAGCTGCGCGTAGCCCCTGTCAAGGTACATAAGAATATCGGCGGTCATGTTCATGGACATGTTGTGGTCCTCCCAAGTATCACGTAGCCCTTTGAGGAATCTCTCTCCTGTCTGCCGTCTCTCATTGACGGACGTCGTCGAGGTTCGTTCGGCGCCAATGTTGGTCAGGCTCTTGCTGACGAGTTCTCGAATCTTGGGGATAACATGATCTGCGAACCACTGTTCCTCGAAAGCTTTGACCCTATCATAAAGCAATTCACCTTTCTTCTTAAGGACCATCTTGTACGCGGCTCGGTACAGCTCCTCGAATGACAGTCGGCTGCAGTTCTTCATGTGAATGTCGCGCAGGGCTTCATCTAGCATCTTCCAGCAAGCCTCGAAATCGGAACCCTCTGCAGCTTCATTCGGCTAAAGGTAAGGTCTTAATTCAGGATTTAGTTACTAAGATTTCAGTGCATCGAACTTACACGCACAATGCGACGAGGAGGACGAATCCTTCCCCGAGCGCCGGCTCCTCCACGTCCCGAGATCATACTTATGGCAATACAGCTGGCGATATCGCCCCAGGTAAAGAATTCTAGGGCGTCGTAGGGTTTTTATGTTTCGTAGGGAAGAATGGAGCTCTCTTGCGTTTTCCGCGTTGATCCTGAGCCTTGAATATGGTGGGGTAATGATGGATGCAAGTCGTAGCGTCCAGGCGGGGCCGCAGTGAATGGCGAAATCGGCGAATGAATAAAGGAACGAAGAGGTAAAGACTAGGCACCTTGGGTTACAGGAAGATTTCAAGCGACAAGCCCCCGGGCGCCAGGTAGAGAGAGAGAAAAGAAAAGGACGGAAACCCCGGGGCACTGGTAAGAAGAGCTTTGAGAGATGGCAAGCTCAAGTTGGCAGGCTACAATTTATGGCTTCTGCATCCATGGTTTGTTAGTTCAACCCCAGGCGCTGTTATCGATAAGCTATATGTACACCAATGATGCAACTTGTGTGGGGAACTGAACATACACCAAGCTTCGCAGCACCAAGTCACGTGGAGACACTACCTCCAGCTACGACCCTCGATTTTTCCGACCGACAATTCAGGCGGCCTTACTCGATAGCCAGCCTCTCAGCCTCACGCCAAATCGATCCTACAACGACGCGCTTAACAACCGCCTGCTTCCACCCCGAACAATCATTCAGCAGTTTAAGCGCCTAAAATCTCTCAAATAGCCAACATGAAGCTGGTTCGGTAAGAACTCCCCCTGTCTCTTGCGCACACTTGGATTGTGCTGAGCTTCTCTTCAAGTTTGAGCTTCTGGACTGACTTGGGACGACTAGTTTTCTCATGAAATGCGCCAACGAAACGGTGACAATTGAATTGAAAAATGGTAATACATTTCTCCTTAACCCTAAGCTAGCTTACAGCCATGCGAGTAGCCGTGGACTAATTGTCGTCTAGGAACCATTGTTCATGGTACCATTTCCTCAGTCTCCCCTCAGATGAACACCGCCCTCCGAACGGTCAAGATGACTATCAAGGGGCAGGATCCCATTTCTTTGGAAACGATGAATATTCGAGGTTCAACAATCCGATATTTCATCCTTCCCGACTCCTTACCCCTTGACACACTTCTGATCGACGACGCCCCTAAGCCGAAGAACAAGGCCAGAAAGGAGGCAGAGCGGGGTGGACGAGGAGGACGAGGCAGAGGCGGTCCCAGGGGCCGTGGGCGTGGTGGAGGCCGCGGTCGCGGAGGACGGCCTTAAACGAGAAGGACACGAGAAGATTCAGGAGAAATGACAAGATGGGGAAAGGATGGAGGCGCACATGCGCGTCGTTAATGTGGAGTGACCACGTTATCGCGAAGATATCACATTCAAATGGAACCTGGCGTTCGGGTTGTTTGGCCATTAAAACTGTATGAACCCGCGTGGGGTGGGTATCGCTTTTCTTGTTCTGGAAAGATATCTGAATAGATGCTCTCGCACACCCCAATTCCATTGCAACATCTCTTTTTATTCTACGGCCTTTGAATAGTCTCGCCATATCCGTACGATCTGCAGCTTCTCCCATCCGGCCTGTTTGCCGCTGTTCCCAACAGTTTGAGCCCGCCATTCAGGCCCAAACCCCTCGATGCGACTCTTGACTTGATTTGGCTTATTCTGAGCGCAGAGAAGGAGGTAGGCACAACCGCGCCGGGACAGGGTTTGGGGTAGTGCCTCGATCAGTCTATCCGTTGTCTCCATACCATCTAAGCCACCTGCGTACGATAAGGCCAGCAGATACGAATCGTCGTCAAATGAAGGCTTTGTACTGACTGCGAGGTCGTCTGCGGTGAACGAATCTGGTCTGGCAGGCATTTCAGGCGTGGGCACATATGGCGGGTTGAAAATGAGGACGTCGATGGTGCCCTCGCGCCATGGGGTTGTAAGATCTCCCATGCATGAACCAAGATAAAATGCATGTGAGGTGGGGTTGTCAGAAGCTGCCTTTGCAACTGTCCCGACTGTTGCCCGGCATGCAAAGGCGTTCATGTCAACTCCCGCAGTCAGGACCTCGCGCGTGCCAAAAAGCTTTTGCGCATGAGCATGGACAAAGGCGAGGACGACGCCTGAGCCTGTGCCGACCTCCACCACGAGAGGCGCTATATCGGGAAACGCTTTTTGGAGATACTCGGTCTCTGTGTCAGATGAGAGCGTATCCAAGAGGAGGTACGAGTCCTCGGCAGGTTCGTAGACTCGCTCATATGGGACGTGCGAAGTATCTGGTGTTGGTAGCATGATGTATGCCTGTCAATGTGAAATTATGTTGTGATTGTGGTGATGCTTCATTAGTATTTAGATCATGGATAGAAAACTTGTGATGACACTGGGTGGATGCGGCACGTGATGTATGTTCAGAATGAAGAAATTGAGACTAAATAGTCGATAAGAACAAAAGACGGATATCAAGCTGTTGTTGGTGGATCGCAAATCTCTGGATCATAGCAGAGTGGTATAGAGCTCAGCTTCAACTGAAGGCCTTCTGTTGTGTTGGGAACGAACATATCTGGTTCACTTGGATCAGTATGGATGGACACTTATCTTGGGGGTGCATGAACCAGGCAGCAGAAACCTACAGCTGTTGCTCGAGATATTACCTGACGACACCGGTACAAAATACCAGAGATTCGAAGCTCGTGCAAAAAGTCCGTCGTAACGATCGCCTCAAAGAATCACACACTTCATCTCGCAACCCCAATCATCCTGTCCTGGCCCAACTCCCCATTTGATTCCCCAGCCCATATCCTCCACCATCCGAACCAGATTGCGATCGTATATACCGTGCAGCTGGCATCGAGGACATGGCCTGCTTTTTGTGTTATAGAATTTTGGTGGTTCCTTGGCTGTACCATCGCAAAAGGTCGGGCAATTGTTGAGGCCCATGAAAGGCTCGCAGGGTTCCGTGAGGACAAGCCAGGTGTGTCTGCATTCCTTGTGCTGGAAATATGTGAGAGTGCACATTCTGAGATGTTCAGGAATCAATCGGCAGAAAAATATGCGTGGGAATTATTGCTGAGGGACAAAGACGAAAAACAAGTTCTATTCGCAAGGTAGAAAAGGAAGGTTGGTTGGCTGTGTAGTGGTAGGAATGGATGTTTCCAACAGTGTCAGTTAAGGTAATCAGTGCTAAAACAAAAGACCACCACAATAATATTGTATCGCAACGCCCTTGCCTGGCTCTTCGCGTGTGCAATTCTGTTTATACTCATATCCAAACACCATGCAATGATCATGAATCACGATCCGCTAAACCTCTAAATGACGACTCGGCAGTATTGTCTCCCCTAAGTGTCCCACTTTGCTCCAGCTCATCATCGCTGATGGCGTCCTCGACAGATGGAACCAGGCGAGATAGCATCGTTTCCATACGCCGTATCGCCTTTTCCATATTGGCCAGCCTATCTGTGGTTCCCTCAAACATGTCATTCTCGGAGAAAGAACCTCGAAGCTTCTGGGGTGGGATCCCTGGAAACATGGAATCTCGTCGCGATGGCCGTCGAGCTCCGGGATCGGGCCTAGAGGTGTTATGTAGGTTGCGGGGCTCTATATCATTTGTCGCATTGCGTGTGAACTGTCGACGGATGAGATGATGCGTGAGATCATCATCGACAGCGATGTCGTCGTGGACAGTATCAGGCGGCGGCACTTGAAAGACGGCGCGAAGGTCTCGGTGAACCGTCAGCCGCCACTTCTTCCAAAACTGGCTCTTTGTCGGGGGCGAAGCTTTGATCTCGGTTGGGTCTTCGATCTCACGGGAAGGCCAGAGCAGACGGCGCTCAGCAACAGCGATGATGAGTAGGAGAGGGAGATTCAGGATTTTGACCGCCGTGACGTGGATCTTGTGGAACCAGCGCGGACTCACGACGAATTTAAGCGGGATGAATAGGAATACAGCGAGGATGTTGAACGGGGGTTGGTATGCGAACACAGCGTCAGCCTTGACGCCCTCAAGTGTCAGAACTGCTCGGCGGAAACTAATCTCCGCTATGGCGTTTGACGAAATGTTACTGAATGTGTTGGAAAGCATCGATACAAGGATGGTAAGGAAGAGGGTGTTCCCGAGGAAAGCGAAGGCTACCATCACACTAGGTCCTAGCAGCCAGTGAAACTCGGTCTAATAGAGATGTCAGGATGTGCCAAGCGTACGGGGGCGGGACGAAGACTGACCGATCGATGAATACCTGTTCCATCCAATCCAAACCAGATATAGATCATCCATTTCGATATTGTTCTGATGCATATTAGTACCATGTTTCACCAAGGTGGTGCAGAAACCTACAGGATAGGGTGTGCCCCCTCACCGAGCCACAGAAGTGACAGCAGAAACCCCAAGAAACACCAGGCAGATAGAGCTGTGAGGAAGAAAAAGTCCGCCATCATTGACCTAAGGGACAAGAACACGAGATTGTCGCTCAGCAGATTGAAAGCAAGTCGAGGAACCAAGACAGGAGCGGCGAGTGCAAGCACATCAAATGCTTGTTCGTCAAGGTTCGCGTCGCCAAGCTTCCAGCCCAAGAACCGCAGTACAAGATATACCCAGTAGATGAGAACAAAGGCCACATCAAGGAATGACCACAGGTTCTGGGTATAGACGTTCCTTTCGAAAGGTTAGTACTCGAGTAACAGCACGACTAGCAAGTCTGTAGCATACCAGCCATGTGCTAAAATAGTAGCAAATTGATCCAAGCCCCATCCAAAAGCAAAGATAGAAAAAGCTGCTTCTGTTGGTCCATACCGGTTTTTCCTTCTAAGAACCATAACCGCAACGTAGAGAGTGAGCAGCGTGGCGAATTGGATCGACTCGAGGACATTTCGGGTTCGAGGGACAATCAGTCGATATTGGTTGAGAAGAGGGGACTCGCGCGGATCATAAATAGAGATGGGCTTTAACTTGTAATGATCGGGGATGATGTCCCAAAATGTCGAGGGGGTATAGACAATTCGACCCTCGTATATGGCGTTGACGACCTTTTGGCAAGTCGCTGAACTCAAGAAATGCTTGCTCTCAGTGACAATAGCCACCTCTAGAGATGGCAGAGTCTTGTAATCAACCCAGGAGGTGGTGCGCTCTGCCTCCTCTCGAATCTCTTCTGGGGCATTCTGGAATGGCTCAAAGCCAGCGACTAGAATATGAGCCAGAAGTAAAAGGCCGTCATGGCCATCATCATGCACTTCACCAAAGCGTCTCAGGATGCGCGTAGCTATGAGCTCACATAGAGTAGCACGTGTGAAGTTCACATTGTGACGGTTATTGAGATGAGACTGCTCTTCGAGAAACTGAGCACGGTTTACCAGCAAACAGTAGACTATCAGATCATATCAGTAAATGGTCCTCAAAAGGGGTGGACAGCACTTCTCTTACTGATGGAGATGTCGTTGAGGCCATAGAACTTATCAACCAACGGCCGCACAACTGTAACATTAATCCTCAGATCCTGCAGCTGGGCGAGGCTCAAATAGTCCTCAACAACGCTGATGATGTCGCGACGAATACGGTGTATGTTGGTATACACAGGTAAGTGACTATGAGGGTCTGTCATGCAACTATACAGGGCATCGCGGTTCTCTGGGCCGCCTGTACTGAGCCTACTCAGTAAAGGTCGTCGCTCCTCAGGATCCGGCAACGTGATGCGCCGGCGGGTGTTGCCAGCCATGAAAGGGCCAGTCAGGTAATCCTATAGTAGTAATGTTTAAGGGGGGGACAAGATCAGAACAAAGAGGATGAACTGAAGTTATCGCGTTGTCGGTGATGGTTTAAATCAAGTTTGTCCCTTTTCGGTGTAGCGAGAGATAAGATAGGATAGATACTTGGAAACGCCCCAGAGGTCGCGTGAAGGCGCTATTGGATAGATGCAAGGACCTGGTGGTTTGCAGAGAGGCGACAGAGGTAATTGATTAATGCCACTGGTGATATCAGTATTTGAAATATAGGTATGTATATCCTCAATTTTAGGTTGTGAGGGAGGAATTGTTCACAGAAGTGCAACGTCATTGGACTAGACTCCTGTCCCATTAGAGCGTTTCAGATTTGAATATTGGGGTGTTACTTCTAAAACACCAGTGATTGGATCATTTAACCGTAAGATGTTGATACCTTGATCATTCCGCTGGCGAAAATAAATGGAAGCAAGTTCTTTACAGAGTAGCAATAACCTATCAATCCATCCCTTTTCTTGTCTTTATTCAATCTGACATCTTAACAAAGGTATACTAGTTATCCGTATATCCACTTGAGCTTGCCCGTAGACTGTCTAAAGTCTAGATCTGCGCATGGGACACTGATCTCAGACATTCCGTGCATTACAACAACCAATCCTATAGTTTCGTCCCAGTCTCATCCGCGCCAGCCTCTTTCGCCAATGCCCAAGCGAACTCGGCCAAAGATCCCCTCGTCACAGCGTGATGTTTCGCTTTCTCGCTACTCGCCTGTCTGAGCGCATATCGCGCCGCAATTCCTTGACAAACTCCAGCCAGTTTCCAGATGCTGAACGACATTCCCCATGGAACCTCAGATCGGGGATCGTATCCACTCTCCTTTGTGTACCACTCCAGGATCTTGTCTGGTGGTGGAAGACCAGGCGTCTTGCCAGGAAGGAATCCCGATACATCAAAAGGAGTCGCACCAGGGGATTTGGCCGAGTAGAAATTCATAAGAAAGTTGCAAATGTCGGAGAGCGGGTGGCCAACAGTAGACATCTCCCAACTGAAGAATATGTGTTAGTAACTGACTTTGAGTCTGGGAAGGTGAGCATACTCCAAGATTCCGATGACCCTTGGTTCACTCTTGTGAAATACCAAATTATCAATCTTGTAATCCCCATGTACCAGTGTTGCCCGGTCCTTAGGTTGTAGACGCTCGTTCTTGAAGAAGCGAACCGTTTCCTCAAAGTGAGGGAGCTTCCCAACAGGCTCCTTGGTCTCAATGTCGACGACCTTCTCCTGGCTACCACAGATAGTCACCCACGTCTTGATCTGTCGTGAATAGAAACCCGATGGTTTGCCAAACTTCTCTAGGCCGGCCTTCTTGTAGTCAACTGCATGGAACCGTGCCAATGTTATCACGGCATCGCGCCACATAGCCTCACGATCGGCGGGTTGTACGCCTGGCATGGTAAAGTCTTCAAAGATACGTCCGTCGAGAAATTCCATGATATAGAACGGTGTGCCAATAACAGCGTCATCCTCGCATAGACAGTACGTTTTGGGCACTGCAACATCAGTGTTCTCCAAAGCATGCATGATGCGGTATTCACGCTCTACTTGGTGTGCTGTCTTGGAAAGGAGCTTTCCAGGTGGCTTCTTGCGCATCACAAAACGTTGGCCATCTGAAGCAGTAATCTGGTATGTAGGATTGGATTGACCGAAACCAAACTGCGCAACATCAGCAGCCATCACACTGAGAAGAGTACGAGCAGAGAGCTCACCTGTTTGAGGTCAATCGGTGTTTTGATGGTTGGGACATGCTCAGAAATGTATTTCTCGAGCGCAGCCTCATCAACAGGCTGCCGAATTCTACCAGCCATCCCTAGGACAGTTATGTGGCTATTTTGTCAGGTGAGTGGATGAAAGGATGATCGACGGTCGATTTGCAGGTTCAGGGTCACGAGATAGAGGTCGGAGGTTATAAAAGATGAATTGAAGAATGGTTTGGCGAAGCTACGGTTAAATGATAATTGCAAGGTCAAGAGTTATTGTACCCCGGATGTGAGAACTGACTCGATGAGCTTCCCTTGAACAATTGGCCCCTTGCTAGTCACTAAAGATGCCGAGGTTCAGATCTGGGGGATTACAGACAGACCTTTAGTGGCCCCCTCTTCCCCAAGCTCTCCACAATCCTAGGTTCGTTCGGTTCCTCGGTTCATCTGACGTGCCTAGGTCAATGTTCAACACCTACCTAGGCATCTCTGTCTTGTTTGTAGTCAATCAGTGTTTCATGCTTCAAGTCATGTCAAATAACAATTCACCTATATAGATTTAACAATTCAAGTTCTCATGATAAAACCTAAAGCCCGTTGTTCATTATCACTGTTCAAGGCCTAAAGCCTACCTTATACCTTAGCTATGATCATCCTGCCACCACTCTCATGCCTTGGAGGATAATATCCATCTCATTAACAGACTACTGGCATGCACATATAAACAAGGTTCCGCATAACAGGCTCCCACCACGGACCAGCCGAAGCAGAATACCGCCGTTCAAGAAACAAGCATACGGTATATAAAAGAATAGTCCTTCCTGCTCGCTGGTTTCCACCTCACTCACTCCATCCATATCCGCCTCACTACCACAACACAAGACATGAAGGAATGCTCATGCCAAAAGGAAACAGACAAATGAAAATTGACAAAAGAAACCATGGTGACAAGCCCTCCAAGTAGCTTCCGGGTCCAAGGTGAAGAGAACAGAATATTCCGTGGTATCAGTATCCATAACGCCAAGCCTTCCGTCTGATGCGGTCGTAGTACATGGATCAATATGTGTCGAGATGTTTGTGGCTGAAAGTCGTTTTGTCATTATAGATCGTTTACCAGCCCTTCTTCCTTGCGAAGCGTTTGTTCAACAATGCCAGCACCTTTGGCACGTTGAACTGGACATATTCCAGGTCAAGGTCATCCTGATTGTCCTTTTGCATCTCAAGCAGATCATCAAGCTTCAGATCCAATTCAAGTAGACCCCTATTGCGACCTGTCTTCAAGTTAGCATGCTAGATTGATAGGAGAATGAAAGTAGCCTACCCTTATAGTGCAATGAAATGACGAATGTTCCAGGTAGTGGACTGGTAAAGTTGAAGTAGATGTTCGCCCGTCTGTTGTCGGGGACATTACTCTTCTGGATGACGCCCTCCTTCTCAAGCTGTTGGTGTGTGAACTTGTACGGACCAAGGACTTGCTGCTTCTGCTGCTTTCTCTTAGTACCCTCGCTCTGTGATCGAACGTTGTGCAGGTAGCTTTTATAAGTCTCGAGTTGTCCGTTGAGATAGACATTATGATCACGGATCGTCTTGTAAACTTCTTGCAGCTTCTGGGTCTCAGTGATAACACCCTCTTTGAGTGATCCGAGATGTTGAAGCTCCTGCTCAACTTCGTCCCGCAGTAGGCTGAATTGATCGGCCTTGTCGATAACGCGCAATTCCTGAAGCTGGGATAACAGTTCCATGGCCCGGATGCCTTTGCGAACCATTACTGCGTCACTGCGATTTGTAGCTGCGGCATCAGCAATGCGTTCTAGTCGCAGTGGTCTTCTAGCTACCCCGCTAGTTGCTGGGATCGATCGCATAACTTGTACGAAAATCGACTTGGCTTCCATGAAATAAACCTCCTCCTGCGTGATATCCAATGCTGCTGTCAGATCGCCGATAGCTGACTCCCATCTACTAAACAAAGGCAAGTTGATGACTCTGTTCTCTTTTCGTGGCAACTGAGGGGGTGATGATCCCAATTCCGACATAATGATAGCAAGATGCGAATTGTCATCCTTGCACAGCTCGTCATGATGCTTGTCAAGCAACGAGTGCATGGCGTAGACTTCATTGAGGGTAATCTCAAGTTCGAGATCCTTCTTTGATAGGGCAACATAATTATCCATCTCGAGGCTCTCATAGAAATCCTGGACCTCGCAGAGATCGAGCATGAACTTATTGATTCTATCCTTGTTCTGGTGAATGAACGGCTGCAGCTTGGCCATGTACGGCTCCTTGGCGTAGGATGGCTTGTTCGCGAGGTTCTGAAGCATCTTAGCGATATATGTTAGAGTTCGTCTTGGTCGTTCGGCCGGGGTTCCGTCGATAAGCATGTAAGATTTCGGGGTAACGATCGCAGGGTTAATGAAGCGCAAAAAGAAGAATCCGCCGATCAAGGTACAAATGACCTGGTCATTAGCATCTGGGTATTTGCGCTTGGTTAGGCTCCTGATTTGTTTGCAAATCCATCGGATACCATAAGGCGCTTCCTCGAGGCCCTCAATAATGGTGGTCAAGAAGCCATTAGCAATCTCGGTCAACATAGTTAAGCGGGGCTCAATGATGGCCTGAACCTGAGGGTTCTCGGCGGCTTGTTCGCCAGTTATTCCCTTGGGAAGATGGGGAGGCAGTTGGCCAGTATCCTCCTCGATCTGTTCAATCATTCGCTCGTAGACCTTGAGCGGGTTGATTTCCAAGTCAAGATCTTTCAGCTCGATTAAACCATTGATTCTATCAGCGAGCACAGCTTTGAGGAAACTTTGACCAGGACCTCTTCGGGTGTATGTAGTCATCATTCGAGAGACGGGAGTATTAGCGCGGAGCAAGGAGGAGTAGTCTGGTGTGTTGTCGAACTGATATGTCAAGACGGACTAGAGCATGTGAGACGTGTATCTCCTTCAAAGATGTGGAAAGCTTACCTGGAACATAGTGAGCAAGAGATGCTCCTCTCGACTTTCGTATTGGTTTCCGTAAATAGTGAACATGACAGTCTGGAGCAGGGAATCGATCTCAGACATCGAGACGAGCCTGCAGAGATGTGCAATGTGCCTAGGTTCAGATTGGAGCAGAAACAAAAGGTTTCCGTATTTCTGAGTCTTGTCGTCGTTAGGGAAGACACCCTGCTGCATTTCAAGGGCATCTTCGAGATGGCTAGCAACTTCGTTTTGCTACAACGCGAATCAGAACTCGTTCGTTTCGACGTTGATTGGAGACGTACCTCTTCCAGGGCCATACGGTTTTGGATAAGCAACGCAATTCGGGAATCTAGATAGCGCACATCTTTTTCCAAAACGAAATTCTTCTTTGACTGTGATGAAATCTTAGACTTGAGATCACGCAGCGCCTTTTGTGCTGGAATGAGATCAGCTGGTTGTCCTCTGGAAATGTGCACATAGGCCTACCTTTGGCAAGCTCATCTTCTATCTGTAGATCTCCCTCATTGGCAGAAATCGACATGTAGAGAGCTGACATCGAGTAGCGCTTCGACTGGCGCGCAGAGCGCGAGCCGTCGTAGGAAGACATGGTATTTTGGCGTGATATGGGCTGGAAAGAGGAGGAGGAGGCGGTAGAAGCTCGAGATGGTGTTTGTAACATGATGGACATAGTGTGTTTACTGCAATTTATGATAACGATGGTTCAGGCTTGTATGCCTCTAGACCCAGACAACAAGCAGCAATTGCGCAGGTGCAGCGCCAAAGGGCAGCGAGTCAAGTTGTCCCGATTATGATGAGTCGAGGTCAAGTGTGGCAGCGAAAGCAACGACCAGTTCGAGGTGAATGACAAGCAGTGAGGCGTAGACGGCGTTCAACGGTTTTCGTGGTACAAAAGCGGGAGTCGCAAAATAATGAAGATTGCATCAACGGAGGTTATCGGCGATGGTTATGAGGCGAGCACGGCGGTTGGAGGCGCGCAACGGCAATACATTTGCTCAGAAAACAAAGGACAAGAAACAAGCGAGGATGGACAGATGGGAAGCAGCAACGGTAGCTCAATGGGAGCGACAGTATGTCGCGATGCGAAATTCTGAAAGTCCTCGATCTCGCGAGGAGCGCAGGAGGCGTTCAAGGAAGAAAGAAGTGCAAAATGAACAACAAAACGGCGGCAGGTTGATGGTGATAGCGAAAGTGGAGGTAGCGGTGGTGGTGTTGGTGGTGGTGTTGGTGGTGGTGGACAAGGCAGAGGCAGGAAGGGGAAGGGGGGGCCGTGGGTGATGGAATTGTACAGGCAAGGCAGCCCAAAGCGAAGTACCTGAGCTAAAAGGGTACTTGAAGCAGAGTAGTTTAGATAGTGGACTGCAAGGTACCAGACATGGATCCTGGTGTATTCCGGGCAGATTTATGCACGGCTGAGACGCGGACTTCAGGAGGGAGAGACGGCGCGTGGGACGGTCGGTGGATCGTTGGCGTTCGACGCTGCAGGGTCGTGCGTACGTTGTGGGCTTGCGCTTGTTTGTGTGTGTGGGGAGAATAGGAGGAATTAAAGCCAGCGCGAAACAAGCGGCGACAATGAATGAAAGGATAATGAACTGCTTTTGACAAGGGAAATGATCGACGCTGAAGAAGAACTGGAAGAACGGAAGAAGATATCCAGAAGAAAAGTGACAGGAACCTGATAAGTTTGTGTGACTCTACCTAGAGAACCTGCCTACTAATGTACTGTACGTCCGAGTGGAAAGGAGGCCAAGGAGAAGACAGGTAAGTACTAACAAAGGCAAGGCAGGAATCAGGGGCAACTAATGTCACGGAAAGCAGGCAGGAAACGAGACTGAGGTGGCAGAAGGCAGACCAAGTGAAAGGGGAGGGAGAGAGGGCGAATCAGAGATTCCGAGCAACTACGTGTGCAGTCCAGCCAGTACCTTTTGATCGGTACCTGAACTGAGATGAGAGAGCAATACCGGTAGTGGATGGATGGATGATGATGATGGTGGTGATGCCCAGTTAAGGCGAAGGTGGTAGTATGGGAATGGAATAACGTGGTCTACCACCGCTGGTGATGAACGAGTATTAGGTACCGACCTACCTTACAGAGTTGGTGTAGAGCTTCTTTTGAAGCTAACTAAACCTGAGGGCTTACTGTATTTTGCAAATACCATCCATACCTTCCACCAAAACCTGAATTTAACACAACGGACGGGACACCGTTCAACGGTCAATCATCAAGTATGAGCTACCTATTGACAAGATCACCCGCAGTAGCCCTTCACCAAAATACGCTTACCATGCATACCACCAGCCGCCATACTACGTGAATATGTAAGATAGATAAGAAACAGAAGAAGGCCAACAAGCCCTGAAAGGGTTCAGTACCTGCTGGGATCAGGGGCAGAGGCGAAACTCACGGGAGACAGAGTGGAGTGATGCCGCCCAAAAACATGATCGTTGTTAGAGCGGGCTCTTGCAACGGGAACCCACAGGAATGACGATCAGCAACAACCCGGACTGTTAACGTTGTTGGGCCTGGCAGGCCCGTGTAGCTACAGTACTACATAAGTAAAAACCCTAACTCGTTAATGAGACCCTGTGATTTTGCGGACAAGAAACAAAGGGCTCTGTAACGGCCCCCTGGTTCCGATCAAGGTCAACTGTATCCGTACTCCGTACAGTACTTCTCTTCTTTCACTACAAAAGACTCGAGGCTCAATCCAATTGCTTGTTGCTTCTATAAGAAGTATTCTGAACGGCCAGTCGCCTCTTGAAATCATGTGGAACGAAGGCGTTGCAATTGCGGCGTTGGCGGGGTTACTTTGACAGAGGCTTGTAGTCTAAATTTGGTAGTGCAAACCTCCCGTGCTTCTTTTGAGAAAAGAAGGCTCGGTTACTTGGACATGCGATTGATCATCCTCCGGTCGTCAGACCGCCAGACTCAAGGTCGATCAGAGGGGATGATCTCAAGAGCTCTTTACATATTCATGAGTGCAGATAAACACACATGCAGCAAGTAGTTGGAAATTTGGGCTGTGAGTGGGAGGATCCTGGTTCATAGTTGGCAAGGATTATAGATATGGCCAAATACAAGGATGAATATGGTAAAAAAAGACTCTGAGCAAACTTCCGGTTGTTTGAGAACTCGGTCAGCTGAATGATCCGTCCTCAATGATACAGCACTATGAGTAAACGCTGAGAAGCTGTGACTCGTTAGGTGCCCAAGCTGAAGCCAAGTCACCAAGGTTATACCAACCTGCAACAGAAGTTAATAACAGAGCACATACAACTTCCAAAACGATACGACAGGAGACAGGGGCAGTGGAGGGTTGCCACAGGTGCTCAGTGGCGCTTGGGGCACCAAAATAGTCCTCGTGCCTGACAAGGGGAGGGAAAAGATGCCAGGAAAAGAACTTGAACTTCCTTGTATCCAATACATCCAATACCTTAGTAGATAAGTACCTAAGTAAGTATCTTTGCACTACTGGAATTGATCAAGATACATGTGAGGCAGAAATATGTTATGATCAGAAGCGTGTTCTTTGGCGTCGATACAACATCTTTGCGACATACAGTGCCCTCGTCTCTTGGGATTCATCTTTTTTCTGATCGAGAGGCCTGCATAAGTTTTCTGTCAATCAACGCTTGTTGAGGGGCAACAAGAGACAAGGGACCCATCCTTGCGTGCCAAGTCAGGGGTATATTGGACCATCACCCGCTTCGGGCTAGACAAAGGGCACAAGGCTCTGCTAAAGTGCCTGCACCTGCTTATGCGGGCACTCATGGACGGCTCCGGGCTCGCTGTGGATGCCCGCGTGCGTGAGATGGTTATTAATGGAGGGGAAAGAATTGCCTGTACGGATAGTTCAATATGTGTTGGCTATCGATGTTATTGTGATGGTGATGCAGATTGAACTTCACTTGTATGTATTACTGCAATGCCGTAATCTTGTCCCCGGGCCATTCGCAGATTGCTTCGAATAACGTAGCTAAACATTCCCGCCATTTCCTCACTTTACGATGCACCACTACTTAGGTAAACAGGCCCGTGTGACTGAGTGAGGTCATGACGCTCTAGCGAGCGAGTGAATCCACTGGTCGTGGAGAAATAAAGAAAATAGAACCAAAGCAACTCCATCTACTCCGTAGGGCCCTGCATTTCATTGACAATCTTCATTGTAATCGTAGTCAGCCCGTTTTTTATCAAGGAGGAGGTGCTCGTATCTACTTTTCAACGATAAGGGGTTCAGAGTTACAATTTCACTGGTCTATACACTATCATTGTCGTTTTAGCGCCTATACACACATTCCAACTGCGGCATGTCTCGCATCACCTTGTCTCTCTTAACTCAGACCCATGTCTCTGGCGTGCTGTGCCTCATCTTTCCAGGTCCCCTTGCCTGCCATGCGAGTCCCCCCTGTCAGCAACTGAATGTATCCCGAGTCTAACGGTACCTTACGTACTGTACCTGGTTCTTGGCTCCCTGTCTTGTCGTGCGCGCAACGACTGTGGTGCGGTTTGGGACATTGTCGATCGCCGGCAGAGCAACCTGCGAATGCAACAATAAAAACGGCTCCAAAGTTTCGAAGATCACCATCTTGGGCATTATCGCAGTAGCAGGTCCAGTTAAAACGGCATGTTTTCACGCAAACCTGACGCTTGGCAATCCGAAAGAGAACTCCTGATACACGGAGCTGGTCGGCGATCGTCAGAATCACATCCTTCTCATATCCATATCCATTTGTGGTCCTCGTCTATCGAGGAATCGTTAACGTTGGCTTTTTGCGAGACATGGCTGAATATAGCAGTTTTCGTAAATGCGCGGGTTGTCGCTCCGCATTCTTGTCTTCCCACGCCATCACCTTTTTCTTTCATTCGATGACAACGGCTTTGATTGATACAGGATTGTGTAGATGACATTGTGACATGGCGGTTTCTCCAATGGCTAAGCTGATTCGAGGTCTAGACAGCGCCAGCCTTCACTCTAGATACTGATGGCTGGTTTACTTTGATGCTAATCATGGTTTCTACCAATCACCAAGCAACAGCTGGTTCAAGGCTAACAAGAGCCACCTGTCTCGACAGCCACTTCTCACATATCATTTGAGGCAAGGGATAGGAATGGGAAGACAGAAAGCCGAACCCAACCGTTGAAAGGTTGTGCACTTATATGCATGCAGGAGTAGTTGGAACCTTGCATCTTCAGCTGATAGTTCAGCCTGCCTGATCCTAGAACTTTTGGGAAAAGAAAGCGGACGTCAAAGCGGGTGATATACTGCATCGACTTCCTCCTTCGTGCCTTGTGACTGCATATGAGGATACATTGCCAAGCAAGAGGTTGCGGCTTAGACATGGGCCAAGATTCAGCGTTCAAGACTTGTAGAGCTCGGAGTAACATCGAGTTAACTCCACTCTCAACGACCATGTCCCATGTGGAGATACCTTACTTAGGGAATTCTGATCTCACCTGTGCTCCCCAACCTTTAATGCTGGTTTCAAGAAGCCAACTCAGACACGGAATACTAGACCCTTTGTTCGCTCTAAAATATGTCTATGTCTGACATGCAGCAAAGACACTGCCAGCATGCACACAAAATGTTGTTCTGATTCTACTCAGAGACAATGCATAGTTACATACTGACCTAAGTGGCCCTTAGCGAACCGGGACGCAAGGAGATCCCTTGCATAGCAAGCATCTCATCACGATCGAATGCGCACAGGTGATGTGTTTCCTCCATCTTCGTGTTGCCTCTCCATCCGGGGTTCCGGATGGGCCTGTCAACCCTTGATTAATTCTGAAACGAACACCCTTCTGCCAACGGGACGAGCCTAGCCGCCTTCATTGTGAATAAAAAGTGCACATGAGTGTAACGTACGTGACCTTTATGCAAATACCCATGTACAGGCTCGGTTGATTCCGGTGTCAGGTCTGTAAACAATTATTACTATTGAAACTGTGGTCTGTGAGTCAAGACGTGCTATATTTATCGTCCTATGTTGTTGAGTCTCTACTCCCAAGATGGTAATATGGGAGGTATAGCCATGACAGCAGGTTTTCCGGGCCTTGATATCCGGCACGCACTTAACGTGTTAACATTATTCGATAGCAAAACAATAGATATCAACAGTCGTCAGCCAAAGTTCCAACGCTCCAGACAAATGTAAAACACAAGTTCACTTCAATATTCATGCGGTAGTGTTGTGGTACTGAATAGCGGATCTGGTCAAACACTGCATCACTCAGACAGCGTTCCGATCGTTAGATGCTCATATGTAACATACATCATGCACCGCACTGTTCAATTGCATGGGGAAAATATTGTTTCAGATTCCCCTGATGACATCTTTTTTATAACTGCATTGACGTTATATCATGCCAATCGCTCCGAGATGTGGCGTCTTGGTTTCTCAGGTTCACGACAAGATCCCAACCAAAGTTGACTCCTTGCAAACAATAGTATCTTGAACAGCAGTTTTCTGTCGACCATGTTTCTGGAACACTCCTGTGTCATCTATGTACCAGTCATTCGGCACATCTTCCATCAACAGCTTCCTTGTTCCCATCACTATAAGCACAGCCGTCACCTAGTCCGTCGAGTTTTCAGGAGGGGAAGGTTGGACGTTGATGTCATGGCGTCTATGAAGAGCCGAGTCCTCAGGGTTCCACTTGTCCGGTAACTGTATCTCCCGAAGTATCTGGTAGAAGGAGTTTTGATAATCCTTCTTGAATATGAATCCTATGGCGGCATCGGACTCGAAATACTCGTGCTGCCTAATGTTATCGAGTCTCTGGCTCTGAAGCACATAATACTCGTAAATCGGGTGTTTTCTGGGCATGTAAAGATGACCGCACATTCTTTTCGCATGTGTCTGTACGAATAGGCCACTTTCTATGTGATCGCGGATTCTGTTCGCTCGGCAGGTGAAGGAAGGGTCTCCTCGCCCAGATTCAGAATGAACCCTGAAGTCGACAATGTAAACCACATGACAGTGGTTGCGCCAAGTTGGAGTCTGCGTAGGCCAATTTCCAAGCATGATGTGTGGCAGGTTTTCACTTGTGGCCTGTTGAGTAGAATCTGGTCGCTGAAGCAGGATGTGCCCCATAGTATCGCGTTCGTCAAATTTCGAATACATGTCCTCCCTAGGTATGATTCGTATGGTCGGTAAAATCAAGCCATCCTGCTATCCTGGGCTTCTCTAGCTTCTCAGTTAGATATCGTTGTATGGCTTTTCGAGGAAATCGTTTGTGGGAGCCCAGCCGCCTGTAGTAGAAAGGTTCGTAGTATGAAGTGACGATGAGACGCAAATAAATTCGCCTAAGAAATACTAGACGTTGATAAACGTATCCGCTCTTGAACTGTGAGGGTTCAGAAATCTCTGTGGGTAGTCGTTGAGCTTTTTTCTTCAGCTGTGGGCAGCAAAGCAGTAGCGAACACAGGAAGGTGCGGGCAAGATGCATTTCAATGGATGGAATGGAACGGAAGGCACTCTGCAGGTATATAGAGCCGTTTGAGCAGCTAAGTAAGCAAGTACTAGATATTCCTTCTTCATCCTACCTTCCATTTTCTTCACAGGTATCTAGAAAACAACAACAGGAACCCTTACAATGGTCAATAGGATGATCTCTTTATCACACTTCACCAGACACTCCTTGCCAACAAGTTATTTTGAATACCTAGTAGTCTATTGATAAGACTCTATATAGAGATTGTTCTATCGGCTACATGTCTTCTCTTTCCACGGTCTAATCCTTTCTAGCGAAAAAAAAAAGTTGATACTTTCCTTTCAGCATAAGGTAGGTAGGTACCTACACACAACTGGTAGTAATTCGTCGATAGGTAGAGGTCATTCGTCAGCGAGGCCACCTGTGGATATATGCAGCTTATTGTCCCGAGGCAAACAGTAGAAATCAATTGTTGAAGAGTGAAGACGCCCGACAAACATCATCATTGTTGTTGAGCCATTTTGCTAGTGTGTAACACGATCATGATCTTCCCATACAAAAAGCACACGCAAGAAGCCGATACATCAGCTTTCAACAATTGAGCTCCACTGCGCTAAGGAGCTCAACGTGATGTCATTTGTGCCGCAGCTGTCCCAAGCTCCAACCCCCACCGCGAATCTGGCAATCCAAGAAGCAATTGCCCACGCGTACCTGTTGGAAATAACATATACGCTTCAGAATTTATCTTAACAGCATTCAGCAATGTCCTTCAGAGCTCCTATCCGACGCATTGCCCTCGCCAGGCCTGCTTTGGCTGCGCGGGGCTTCCACTCGACCTCTCGTGCTTTTGTCCGCGTTGGCCAAGAGATTCCTAACCTTGACGTCCTTCTGGAGGACTCGCCCGGTAACAAGGTCAATCTCGCGGAGGAGTTCAAGTCAGCCAATGGATACATCGTCGGCGTTCCTGCTGCCTTCTCCGGAACGTGCTCCAGCAAACACATCCCCTCTTACATCAACCACCCCAAGCTCAAGCAGGCTGGCCAGGTCTTTGTTGTATCTGTTAATGATCCGTTCGTGTAAGTATTGCAATCATGAATCGTCCTAGGTGACGATCTTCTGGCATGTTTTTGACTGTATTGCAGCATGAAGGCTTGGAGTGAGCAGCTCGACCCCGCCAAGCAGACCGGCGTGAGTAAACATTTTTGAAACGAATCTCCCTTCGTTCAAATGTTCCCGGTTATTCCTCTAACTTCTTTCAGATCCGATTCCTTGGTGACCCTACTGGTGAGTTCACTAAGGCCCTAGACCTTGGCTTTGAGGCCTACGAGGTATTTGGCGGTATGCGAGGAAAGCGATATGCCCTCAAGGTGGAGGATGGCAAGGTCAGCAAGGCGCACGTTGAGCCTGACAATACTGGAAGCGCTGGTAAGTAATATCATGAGATCGTTTATCATGTCATATCGGCTAATATCAAATCTGCTAGTCTCCATGGCTGAGCAAGTGCTTGACTAGATTTGCCTATCGCTATATCTGAATGGAGGGTCCCATGGGCGTTATCTTAAACACTCTGAGAGCATCTGTTGATCCAAATATATCACTGTAGTACTCATGGTGCTGCATATTCACTCACCCAAATTCTTTTTGATCTTGACCACCCCTATTATCATCATAGCCTGCTCGTCTAATCATCTCGATCTATACGAATAACGACCTCTTGGCAAAATCCTTCTATGATCTTGACACATATCGATCTAAGGTGAACAAAGGAGCACATACTACACTTGATGAGACCTTGTGAATGTTTTGCTACTGGTGTGACACTTGCCCCGTGAGATAGGCTTCCTAGTCAGCGGGCCATCGCTTCCGACTCTTTCGACAACATTGCCATCGGCCCCATGGTCGTCGTGCGTCTCAATTTTTTCACAGCCATAGTTTTGAACCCCCCTTGGTTAGCAGAGTAAGTTACTCAGCGTCAGTGCCCTTCCATTTCATGTAGTAGATGTTTTGTCATACTTTTATCCCTCGCTAACCTCTCACCTATGCAAACTCCAGCTAATTCGCAAAGCTCGCATCCATGGTTTGGTCTGAGCTTTCAGTCCTTGCTTCAGATATATTGCGAAGCAGGCCTGGTGGAGGAGCTGATTGTTTTACTTGGTCAGTGATACGAATGATGGCAGCATGTAAGGAGGTGCAAAGTTTCAAGCGCAGTCCTAGGATATCACGAGTTTCAGTTGCAGGGCAAGAGTTAATAGTCCTCCCGTAGCTATGGCTGTGTGAAAGTTCTCGCATCTCATTTGCTCTGACGATCTTACGAGCTTCAAGAGGGCGTGTCATTACACAAGACTCTGTTGCGAATCGTACATTTCTGGCTAAGATAATACTGTTTTGTCGAAGCCATTGCTGGTCATGGCCATCCTAGGGATCAACGGCCATAACTCGACGTGAGTTTGGAAACCCTCAGCAGTAGTGGTAGTGGTGGACTCAACCCATTCGCAGCGAGTCGCCTTTGGCACTACCAATGATATTACGCATGTAGCTCTGCATACCCGGCAGCACTATACAATTCTAAGGCGGCTGCTCCAACGAAATTTCCAATCCCACATTTCTCAGTCAACGACAACTGTTTGTTTACAGTCCTCCTTCACATCAGGTTCCGGGGGCAGGAGGGTTTTCCACGGTGTACTACCCTATAGTTACTACACAACCAAAGATAGCTTTCCTATACACTCAATAGTGCCTTTCTTACATCATAGTCATCAGTCGACAAAAGACACAATGATGGTTGTTATTTTGCGCATATTACTGATGCATGGGAACTGTAGCTCACATGAGCAGAATATGTCAACCTAACTAAGTCTGTACGGGTTTCAAGTGCATGGTGACACTACCGCAGCCAACATCAAAAACCACCTTGGATCCAACACAGTTGGAAATATAGACTTCACTCCTACCCTACGATTGTGGAATCAGCCACTGTATTGATCTGGAGGCAAATTCTCAGTGTTCTCAAGACATATAGGTTTTGCCCACGACGAATGACGTTGAAGACAGCAGACTAGAATCACATCACTATCACTACCTACCTAGACATATCATCAAACCAGACAGGGAACGCTTGTCAATTCGATACCCGAAATGCCCCGTCCAAAGGAGAATAAGGACAGCGGTATGTTACTCAGACTAGCCTTTGGATACATAAGGCAATGCCTTGTAGCCTTCCAAACAAGGACTCAACCGCCGTGGACCGAGATGATGATCACCGTTTCGCCGTGTCCAAGCTTGGAATGGAGAGCTCTTTAAAGACTTGGGTTGAACGTAACGGCGGCGACGAATGAGAATCCACCGCAAGGGCCTGGGCTTGTCACCCCAAATGAGTTGAAACTAGACAAGGGCGAAAGAAAGGCTAACAAAGAGGGTCTGGGACGCGTCTGGAACGCGATATCGTGAGCAGCCTTGTTGAGTGGTGCATTAAGCGCGCAACAAGGGTGTTGGAGGAAATGCAAGAAATGATTAACTACGAATCAAAACTTGACAATGAACCAAAGATGCCCGGATATGTGACGGCCGCGTGTGGCCGGGCCAAGTTTCGAGAGGATAAACCTAGAGTAGTTGCAGTCATAAGTGATAACGCTGGAGCCAGGAGGCATGAATCATGTCAAGATCCTATGTACCTAATTACGGCTGAGGTGATAGTCGGATACTGAAATGTGACATGGGCGGGCGGCGGCCGCGACATGACGAAACAAACAACTTACCCTTTATTCAAGACAGGGCTCTTTGAGCTACGGATATCGTCACTTGATCGATGTGTTCACTGGAAGGTGTACTCCGTAGTCAGGTAGACTTTGCAGCAAGTGGGCTTATAGCCACAGCCGTTAAGGCGTCACAGCATAGCCTGTTCCACGCTGACGCCGAGATACAGAGCAGGGCGGACACAAGTATGCAGTCAGTCCATCAGGCTCTGTTACTACTATGATAGATGTGATGTTGCCCAAGACAGTCGCTTCTCAATAGGTATGCTTTTGCGCAAAACATGGCTGCCGATATTGGGCTGTTATACATGCATGCAGTCCGAGATCATGAGGCGGTTACATGCATTGAGGTTGTGATACGGGATGATTGGGAGATATCAAACGATGGCGCTGAGGTTCCATCACTCCCCAGAATCACATGTAGTAGGTAGAAGAACAACATGCGTCATGGCTTGCTAGGTATTGTTTATATCTGAAAACCCAAATCTGATGTCGAATCCAATCGGAAGATTATCGATCCATGGTAACCAATTGATACTGAAGCCTCAGTTTTGTAACCTTGCATCGCTCTGCAGACGAAGAAGAGAAGGGAAAAGATGATGGATCTCAACCCAACCACACCAACTCAAGGTACCTAGCTGCAGACCAAGCTGTGACAACTGGCCAACCACGCACACCTCATGCATCAGTAATAGCAAAGGCCAAGACATGGGGGGATACACACCACCACCACGCGGTTACGCCCCCACCACTTTAGTAGACGACGTGCGATCTTGAGACAAGGACAAGTGCATACATAGTGTACGTACATGCTATAACTGGGAAGCAATATGACAATGCACTTTGGCAGTGAGTGAGTGCATTTCATTAATGCGATGCGGTGCGTGAGATCGAGCACAGCCGACAAC